CTGCCTTCTGCTCCCTGCCTTCTGCTCCCTGCCTTCTTCTCCCTGCCTTCTGCTCCCTGCCTTCTGCTCCCTGCCTTCTTCTCCCTGCCTTCTGCTCCCTGCCTTCTGCTCCCTGCCTTCTTCTCCCTGCCTTCTGCTCCCTGCTCCTTCTGCTCCCTGCCTTCTGCTCCCTGCTCCTTCTGCTCCCTGCCTTCTGCTCCCTGCTCGCTGCCTTCTGCTCCCTGCTCCCTGCTCTCTGCCCCCTGCCCCCTGCTCCCTGCCCCCTGCTCCCTTTCTCCCTCCTCCTTGCTCCCTGCTCTCTGCTCCCTGCTCCCTGCCCTGGTTCCACTACAACCCTCATGACCATTCCTATCTGTTGTCTTATCCATATCCCCCTTCCCTCCCGTTTCCTTCACCCTATCCTCCTTCTATCCCTCCCTCCCCACATCCCTTTCCGTACCTCACACTCATCTCTTCCCGCCTTTCCACCCCACTGCCTCAACCCCTCCCCCCTCGCAGATGTCCGTCGAGGAGTGCAGCGGCTTCTACCTGCGGTACGTGAGTCTGCTCATCAACGACAGCATCTACCTGCTGGACGAGGCGCTGGAGAAGATCCCGCGGCTCAAGGAGGAGGAGGCGGCCATGGCGGACAAGGACCAGTGGCTGCAACTGCCGGCTGAGGAGAGGCAGACGCGCGAGCAGGACTACCAGCGGGACCAGTCGGTGGGTTTTGGAAGCTCGTCCGTGGGCTCGTTGGGATTGGTGGGATCGTTGGTTGGGATCATTGGGGCCGGTGGGTGAGTTGTGGTTGTTGGGGGGAGGTGTTCGGGAAAGAGCCAAGTCGCCTGCTCTGCTGCATTCACGGCCCGTGCATCTACTGTGCCATGGCCCTCCCAAGGCATGGGTTGTCAACATTCTGCACCCTCATGGCGTGCCTGTCCGCCTGTCCACCCGCTCTGTATGCCCGAACGCCCCTTTGGCTGTGCAAGATCAGATAGTGAGGTCGGACCTACAGCTGGCGAATGCTAATGTGCGCATGATCCAGTACTCCACCACGGAGATCGTCAAGCCATTCCTGCTGCCCGAGATGGTACGCTGCTGCTTCTAAGCTGTACATACATATCACATATTCCCTTCTGCTCACACGCCGCCTGGTTCGTTTTTCGTGCTGTGGCACTCGTCAATCTCCTCGTCCAGTCACACTTGCGCATTCCTCGTGTCACCCCTCCCCCGCACCCTGCGACCCACACCCCCTTCCCGACTCACCCTGCTGCTGGTGCAAACGCAATGTGCTGTTCGTGATGATGATGATGATGCTGATGCTGATGATGATGATGATGCTGATGCTGATGCTGATGATGATGATGATGATGATGCTGATGCTGATGATGATGATGATGATGATGCTGATGCTGATGCTGATGATGATGATGATGATGATGATGATGATGATGATGATGATGATGATGATGATGATGATGATGATGATGATGATGATGATGATGATGATGATGATGATGATGATGATGATGATGATGATGATGATGATGATGATGATGATGATGATGATGATGATGATGATGATGCTGATGCTGATGCTGATGCTGATGGTCATGCTGATGGGGATGCTGATGCTGATGACGATGCTGATGATGATGATGATGCTGATGATGATGCTGGTGCTGATGCTGATGATGATGCTGATGTTGATGCTGATGCTGATGATGATGCTGATGCTGATGCTGATGCTGATGGTGATGCTGCTGATGATGATGATGATGATGATGATGATGATGCTGATGATGATGCTGATGCTGATGCTGATGATGATGCTGATGCTGATGCTGATGATGATGATGATGCTGATGATGATGCTGATGCTGATGCTGATGATGATGCTGATGCTGATGGTGATGGTGATGTTGATGGTGATGGTGATGATGATGCTGATGCTGATGGTGATGCTGATGCTGATGCTGATGGTCATGCTGATGGGGATGCTGATGCTGATGACGATGCTGATGATGATGATGATGATGATGCTGGTGCTGATGCTGATGATGATGATGATGCTGATGCTGATGCTGATGATGATGATGGTGCTGATGATGATGCTGATGCTGATGCTGATGCTGATGCTGATGATGATGCTGATGCTGATGGTGATGGTGATGCTGATGGTGATGGTGATGATGATGCTGATGCTGATGGTGATGCTGATGCTGATGCTGATGCATGCTGACGATGATGCTGATGCTGATGCTGATGCTGATGCTGATGATGATGCTGATGCTGATGCTGATGCTGATGATGATGATGATGATGATGCTGATGATGATGCTGATGCTGATGCTGATGGTGATGGTGATGCTGATGGTGATGCTGATGATGATGCTGATGCTGATGCTGATTATGATGATGCTGCTGCTGATGCTGATGCTGATGCTGATGGTGATTATGATGATGCTGCTGCTGCTGGCAGGTGGAGCGAGTGGCGTCCATGCTCAACTACTTCCTGCTGCAGCTGGTGGGGCCCAAGCGCAAGGCGCTCAGAGTGACCAACCCGGAGAAGTACGAGTTCCATCCCAAGAAGCTGCTCTCACAGGTGAGCCGCGCTGCTGTGCCTGGTGAAGCACCCTTGCAGTCTATGCATGAAGCTTTTCTCAGCTTGTGCATTCTCATTTCAACACCTTCTCTTTCCTCCTTTCTCCTCTCTCTTGTTCCCCCTCTCCTCCCCCCCCCCTTATCCCCCATCCCTCCTCTTCGCCCCGCAGATTGTGAACATATACGCCAACCTGGCGAAGCATGATGCGGACCACCGCTTTGCAGAGGCTGTGTCTGCTGATGGCCGCTCGTACAGAGAGGAGGTGCGCTGATGCGGGATGGGCGTGATGGGGGGGGAGGGTGTCGGTGGACGGGGATGGGGATGGGGTGGAATATTGGTGGGGGGAGAATGGTGATGGGGTGGCATGTGCGGGGTAGTCAGGAGCTTTTTCCAGCCACACACCACCCCTTAATGCAGTACCTTGTCTGGTCCCTTCCACATGGTTCCATTCTGCTCCCGTCCCCTCTCCCTCCCCTCTCCCCCCTGTCCCTCCCCTCTCCCTCATCTCCCCTCCATCTCCCCCCACCAGGCGTTCCCAGAGGCGGCATCGGTGATAGGCATGCATGGGCTGCTCCCAGGGGACGTGGTGCAGCAATTCATGGAGCTGGCAGCGCATGCCAAGGCAGCGTCAGCAGAGGCCATGGACATAGAGACCCAGCTTGATGATATCCCCAACGAATTCCTCGACCCCATTCAGGTGTGCCCCCGGTGCCACACCCCTTCCTTGTGTGTGCTGTGCTTTTCTGTGCTCTGCCTGCCCTGCTCGATTGTTCTTCCCCGTTCTTTACTCTCCAGCCCTTGTGCATTCCATGCTGCCCTCACAATGCATGTGCCGCACTGCTTCAACCGCCTGGCTGCTGGGTGCTCTACTCCCACCCTCCCTTGCTGCTGCGGCCTTTGCAGTGCACGTTGATGCGTGACCCTGTGACACTGCCATCGGGCAACGTGGTAGACCGCCCTGTCATCCTCAGACACCTGCTCAGCGACCCGGTCCGTGCACCTGCCAGCCATGCCATGCCATGCCATGCACATAGGCGTCCAGTACTTGTGCCATGCACAAGCCATCACTTGAGCCATGTGGATCGCTGCCACATGCCATGCATATCTGTCACTCCCACATATCTCTCCCCGTGCCCATAACCTCCGCATATGTCACATCACGGCTTGCCTTGCAATGCAACCACCGTTACTCATCTCAATTCTCCGCAATCTACTTTATCACACTCATGACAGGCTGTCTCTTGCCCTGTTACTCAGTCCGCTGCTCCTTCCTGTCCCATCACTCCCACCCCCCCCCCTGACCCCTTCATACCAATCCCTGTGCGGTGCCAACAGAAGGACCCGTTCACCCGTGCACATTTGACAGCAGAGATGCTTGTGCCCAACACAGAGCTTAAGGCTCGGATAGATGCGTTCCTTGCCCAACATAAGGCCAAGAGGCAGCAGTAGTGGCTGTAGCAGCTGCAATTGCAGCTGCACGTCAGTGTTTATGCAAGGGCTATTGCTATCTTGGGATTATAGAACCGGGTCGGGACATGTACAAGCTAGAACGGGCCGCATACTTGTCTAGTGATTGTCCTGTAAAAATGAAACTAGGCATCAGGTTTCTATGCCACCAACAACCATATCCAGGCCCTGGGTTCTAATACGAGGTGGAGAGCAAGCAACCATTTCCTCCAGCAGTTTGTGAAATATTTTCCATAACAATCTCCACCACTTCACGTACGGCATCTGTATCATTTCGGTCAAAACGTCAGGCCACAAACGAAGCACTCTGTCAGCACCTCCCGCAAGCTGTGGAACCTCGTGGCTGCCTTTCCGTCAACTCTTTCAGAATTGCACGGAGAACATCGGGCTAATCGTTCGACAGACGTCCCGTCCACCCAGCTGTCAGAGGTTGCGCAAGGCCAAACGTGTCACGTTGATATCGTCTAGTCGAGCCGCAATCCGCCTAACCTAGGTACAGGCGGTTCGTCAGGATGATGAAATGCACGGCCGCGATGGATTCGATCTTCCCCAATTTTGTCGCATTGTTTCGTCCCCCTCTCCTCGCTTTAACCGCTCAGCCCTCGGCCGTCAATATCGTTACACCAGCCCGCCAATCTAGTCTTGTCGAACTCTGGTGGTGTGACGACCGTGTCGAACGAAACGACAGGGGGAACGTTAGCTGCAGCAGCAGCAGGGACAGCAGAGAGACGTGCGACTGTCCGTGTGACGTAATCGAGCATCGCCACCTCTGTATTAGCTCGTCATGTATTCTTGGCCCGTCAATCCTTCTCCTTCCACCTGTGGGGTAACCTCCTCCCCTGCTCTTGTCACAAGGCTGCCATTCCTACATAAAAGCCGAATCCGCATTCCGTCCATCCCTTCGCATCCACGACTAAGGCTTGCTGTCTTTGGCCTTGGGCCCACGGGGATGGGCGCAGGTGAGGCGCAATGGGGGGAGGGCGCACAGGCAGTGAGGGGAACCGCGCAGAGTGTCCAGGGAGGCGGGGAGGGAGCGGGAAAGGCGCCAAGCTGGTTGGGCAGACACACAGGCGCTCAGCCTGTGAAGCAGGACGGACTTGCAGAGGTTCATGAGGTTCGGCAGGAGGTTTGGCAAGAGGCTGGGGAGGAAGGGCGGGAGGAGGGATGGCGAAAACCTATGCTGAAGCATTGGAAGAAGCAGGAGGTGCAGCAGCAGGTACAGGAGGAGGAACAGGCAGAGGAGGAGGTACAGGCAGAGGAGGAGGTACAGGCAGAGGAGGAGGTACAGGCAGAGGAGGAGGTACAGGCAGAGGAGGAGGTGCCTAGAACCATGGTGCAAGCCGCGACATGCTTCTTGAGGCAACCGGGAGTGCTGCTAGGCATAGCTGCCACGCTCTCTGCCACCTGCTTGCGAGCCATGCACCCTCACTGGGGGGTCCTAGATACTGCTGGTATGGTGCTCCTCTGTACATGGCTCGTACTTCTGTTTGTTTCTCGTACTTCCTCTTCCGTCCAGCCTACTCTCCAGCCCGAGACTCATCTTTGTCATTGTTTGTGTGGTGAATCTGCAGTCGCTGCAGCAGCCGTGTGCTGGTGGCTCCTGCAGGAGTGGGTGCTGCATGCGAAGTTGCTACACAGCTCCTTCCCCTGGTATGATCGTCATCCCCACCTCACAGGCCTACTGCCTGCAGTACCTGCATGCTGGCGCCATCTGTTACCGCCTGAAAGAACTTTGAAAGCTTCTCACATGTGACTGCATACCCGGACATAAATCCCAACCTTTTCTTCTGTGTGGGCAGGTGGGGCCGGTCTATTCATGCGAAGCATCACAGGCGGCCATACCATCATGTGTCGGTTGACAAGCCGGACGTGGTCCTCCCAGTCGTTGCCGGTGCTGCCATTGTATCTCGCCTCATTCTTGGGGTGAGCACTGAACACTGAAGATGGCCGTTTACAGGTGGAGCTTGTCGTGTGCACAAATGATGTGTGCTTGCGTCCCCGCGTGTTTCATGTTACTGCATGCATCAAGCCCATCTTCTGCATCTCCCCAGCCGAACCTGCTGCTTTTTTTTTATCCCTGTCTTTCACCATCGTGTTCAGGCATCGACTCTTTCGCTGACTGCTCTCATGGCCTACTATCTTATGGCTATCACATATGAGTGGACTCACTTTCTGTAAGAGCTGCATTTGCTAGTTCATCTCATGGTTTTATGTTCTTTCCATTGTATGGCTCTAAACCTGCTCAACTCTCAAAATCACTGTAATAGCTCCCATTTCCTTGTGCTTGTGGATGTTTGCCAGAGTACACACTCATGTGCCCATGCATTCGTGGATTTCTCGTGCCATCAAGAATGCTCATGTCAAGCATCATCTTAGGGATTCTAGATATTGGTTCAGTTTCACATGCCCCCCACTTGACATCATGTTGGGTACCGTACCTAGTAGCAAATAGCAGCAAATGCGAGCATCCCTGGTTCCTGTATGACATTGGTTGTAGTGGAGCTATGGAATATATTGAAGGCACAGATTCTGTATACATAACTTATCCGAGCCATTTAGAAAGCTGTGGTTGTCGGTGGCCGACAAACCCACCCACAAGATGTTTGCGCTGTGTCGCCCACCATTCGAAAATGATCGCGAGCCTTCTGGTTGCGACCACTAACAAGTCACCGAATGTCGCTGACGGGCAAACAGACCGCGTGCGACTCCGCGTGGGCGGTCAGTGAGGCGGTCAACAGACCCAGGCAGTAGCAGTCTGCAGCAACCCGCAAATGAACAAGCCACAAGGCAGGCGGCGTCACGCTTTTTCTTCCCCCGAATTCCCGCCTTATCAAAGTCCGCGCTGAATTTTCGCCGAGCCATTTCCCCAACCGGATTCATCATCCATACCAGCTCCGTCGGCGACGTGTCAACGAGAGCCGGGAACCAGCGACCACCCGCATGTGGTGTGGTCTAGGGAGTACCGAACCGAGCCTCGGCTATTGCCAAGGAAAAACTGGAAACCAGGTGGAATTGAAGGGGGAGAGTGGTCTAGTCTAGTAGCCGTTCGTTGGTTGGATTCCTTCCCGTTGGTTGGTGCTCACACGTTGCACTGCCCGATGTGTCGCTTTCCTCCCATCACTTTTAGTTACTCGCACTTCAAACAGCTGCTCTGTGTATAGAATTGCCAGCTTCAGTTTCCCACTCGCTCCAGAACAAGCAAGTCCTCTCCAGCTTGGATTCTTGCCTGTCGTAACAGGCATTATAGAGGGAGTCATTCGGCCTTTCCATTCTGTGTTCGCGTTAGCAGCAAGCACATACGATCATATTGTATCATTCCGGCCTTAGTTCCCAATAACGTTGTACCACGATGACGCCACAGATTTCTGCGAGAGTGTGTTTACTTCTGTGCTTTCTGATGGTGGCATATCGTAAGAAGTCTCTCCCTACACAAAGTGCCCAGTTTCCTTCATCATTCTCGTCACCTCCATCCATCTCTTTGTTGCCATTAGCTAAATCTGTGTCATCGTTTGTAAAGTAAAGTCAGGTGTTTTATTGTCAGACGAGTACCCTAATAACTACCACTTTCTCAGAGCGTCAGTATGCTTCTGAGACCTCGACATGGCTATTATTTTGCTGTGTCCCCCAAAGTTTGTCCTTCGTGCGGTCCTCTTTCTCCCGCCATAACGTACCGCTCTTTCCTTATTTTCCGTTCCTCGTTGCCACAGCCTTTGTCGTCAGATCTGCGGACGTGACGATAAGGAGCGTGACGCTCGAAAGAGATTTTCTGGGTATGAACGCGTTTGGCGTGGAGGTGTACATGGAGTGTGTCAACGATAATGTGAAGATTACGTTGCCAGGAGTGGCAACGAAAGGCGTCGCTGTTAACTACACCGGTCAAGAGGCATGGCAGGTGAGGGGGATGCCTTGACCAGGCATAAAAGACCGCTGACATTATGACAGAGTTGAGTGTCATAGTTAGCTTGCCGTAACTGGATTCAGCCTCGCGTTGACGGTTCTTCAGTGTCTCCGTGACTCTTACTCGTGGTGTAGTAGTAGCGCTAACGGAAAAAAACACCCCGCACTTGCTATTCTCTTCCGCCGAGGTTATACCATCACAGTGTCCTTCACATCTACCGTTCCCCTTCACCAATCCCACCTCCCAGTGCCTTTCTTTCCCACACACACTCACGCTCACACTTACCTTTTTTCATTCACATTCACATGACCTCACCCATTTCCTTTCCCCCTCTCTGTGCTCTCGCCACTTATGCCAGCCTGTGATGAAGCTGAACCCGGGGGAGTGCAAGAGGTGCACCGTTTACCAAAAGAAGAAGGCTTTGTTTGGTATCCCTGCACCGACGGCTCAATGGACCACCTGCTACGCCAACTTCACCACCGTGAATCCTAACCCCCCTATAGGCTCTAAGCTCCAAGCAGTGCAGCCCAGCACAGGGTTCGTAACGTTCAATAGCCCCACTCAGCTGATTGCCGTGCTGGCTTGCCCTGACTGCAACCAGCCTTCGCCTCCTGAGGCTGATTCGTCATCGCCTCCTGCCGACTCCTCTACTGGCAGCAGTACCAGCAATGCTGCGGAATCTTCCTCCACTTCCTCCTCTCCTCCCACCTCCACCGCGTCTGGTGTGCCCAGCAATGTCACCTCGTGGATGGCTGATGCCCCTACCACTGAGGAGGGCAATTACGATGTGACCATGTACGTGGCGATTGGAGCGACGCTGCTGTCAGTGGGGGTGGTGCTGTTTGTCGGAATCATAGTGTTTTATTTTTGGCGCAGGGCGAAGGTGGCTCAGAAGGAGGCGGACATGTACAGGGACCAGGCAGAGAAGAGTCTGGAGAGAGGTGCAAGTGACGGGGGTGACCTTCCAGTCTCTGGGGAGGCTAGGGTATGAGCATGATGAGAGAGTGAGGACCCAGCAGCAGGGTACTCTGAGGAGACGCTCATTGCTGCATCGCTGGTCGTCCCGCTCATTCCTCTGGCATTAGACAATTTCTCGTTGGCCCTTAGTTAATGATTGCGTCTGTTGATTACTTGGCTACTCAGGGTTTCTGGTGTGGTGAACTGCACACTCATGCTAAGCTATATACGGTATGTATTTATTTTCAGCTAAAAATATAATCTGATTCTGATTCCAGCAAGAGCATCACTTGCCCCCATGACAGCCACCACAGGAGGATCGCAAGCCAATTTAAAGCCAGCAGGCAAAATAGTGACCCGCCCCTTCTAGTTGGGTCCACTTGAAGATGAAGTATTTTTGTTTTGTTTTGGAATGTTGGAATTGCTGTATGTGTGCTTTTTTTTCCGACCCTCGGACGAGTTTCTTATTGGACCAGGAACGATACCTAGTTCATTGTCAATTCTGATTGGCAGCCAGGTTCTCTCACATGTACATGTGCGAATTTGGCGCAAAGTTGAGCGACGAGCACTCCTGCATTCACTAGAGCCAATACTTCACCAAATTCACAACTAGCAACATCTCACGCTAAATCCCAAGCAGACACACATGTACGTGATGAGAGTGAAAGTGTTTGAACGTTATTAGAGCTAGTAGAGCTCTGATCAATGTGCTGCCTTGGACTTGAGGCCTGGGAGAGGTGCAATAACGGGAAACAGAAGAGAAAAACAGCACTAGGGGGGAAATTATGATGGGCAAGGTGACGCGAATGAAGAGAAAGAGGGAGGGCGACGGGAAGGGAGGGCGTAGGAAACGGGAGGGCGACGGAAGAAGGGGGGCGACGGGAAACGGGAGGGCGACGGGAAACGGGAGGGCGACGGGAAACGCGAGGGCGACGGGAAACGGGAGGGCGACGGGAAACGCGAGGGCGACGAGAAAAGGGAGGGCGACGGAAGAAGGGAGGGCGACGGGAAACGGGAGGGCGACGGGAAACGGGAGGGCGACGGGAAACGCGAGGGCGACGGGAAACGGGAGGGCGACGGGAAAAGGGAGGGCGACGGGAAACGGGAGGGGGGCAGGAAACGGGAGGGCGACGGGAAACGGGAGGGCGACGAGAGAAAAGATAGGCGACGGGAGAGAGGATAGGCGGCGGGAGAGAGGGTGTCGAGAATAGATGGAAAGACAGAAAAAACAAACAAACCAAACACAATAACAGAGTACGGAATGGGTCACGCTGACGCGATAGCAGAGGGAGAACGAGAGAGGCGACGGAGAAAGGAGGGCATACGTGATGGGAGAGTCGAAGGTCGCCGGGAGGGCTATTCGAGGCGAGCGAGAAGGGAGGATGGGAAGGGAGCAGAAAGAGAGAGGGCAATGGGAAGGGAGCGGAGAGAGAGAGCGCGACGGGAAGGGAGCGGAGAGAGAGCGCGATTCGAAGGGAGGAGCGAGAGAGAGGGCGGAGCGGAGAGAGAGAACGCGATGGGAAGGGAGGGGCGAGAGAGAGGGCGACGGGAAGGGCGCGGAGAGAGAGAGCGCGACGGGTAGGAGGGGCGAGAGAGAGGGCGACGGGAAGGGAGCGGAGAGAGAGATCGCGACGGGAAGGGAGGGGCAAAAGAGAGGGCGATGGGAAGGGAGCGGAGAGAGAGAGCGCGACGGGAAGGGAGGGACGAGAGAGAGGGCGACGGGAAGGGAGCGGAGAGAGAGAGCGCGACGGGAAGGGAGGGGCGAGAGAGAGGGCGAGGGGAAGGGAGCGGAGAGAGAGAGCGCGACGGGAAGGGAGCGGAGAGAGAGGCCGACGGGAAGGGAGCGGAGAGAGAGCGCGATTCGAAGGAGGAGCGAGAGAGAGGGCGGAGCGGAGAGAGAGAGAGCGATGGGAAGGGAGGGGCGAGAGAGAGGGCGACGGGAAGGGCGCGGAGAGAGAGAGCGCGACGGGAAGGGAGGGGCGAGAGAGAGGGCGACGGGAAGGGAGCGGAGAGAGAGAGCGCGACGGGGCGAGCGACGGGAGGGCGATCGGTAGGGAGGGGCGAGAGAGAGGCCGACGGGAGGAGAGGAGGGGAGAGAGGGCGACGAAGAGGGCGACGGGACGGGCGACGAGATGGCGACGTGACGCGCGACGGAAAGGGAGACGGGTGGGCGATTTGGCGAACTCGAGGATAGCATAGTGGGCGATGAGAGGGGTGAGAGGAATGGCGACGGGAATGGGGTTCTCTGTGATCGCGAGGAAAATATCACTACGCAGCAACAGCGACGAAGTACCGTATCACAAACAATCTAATGATAATTTCATTTCTATGCCGCATCAGCCTAATCCCTCGTCTCTGGCTATTCTATGCTAGGCAAGCTCTGTGAGTTAGGCAAGCTACGTGAATGGAGTTGAAGTAAGCATATGTGGAACCCAGGCCCAGCTTGAAAGTTGAAGTCGGGTCCAACCATCAAAACGCACGACAAACAACTGTCGTGCAAATGTCGCATGCAGAAAATGCGAACGCGCGAGCACGATCTGATTTTTTTTTTTGGCGGGAACGAATCACGTGTGTTCAGTCTGTGGAAGGGCGATGCCCGGAACAGTGTTTTACACAGCCCATCGTCGTTCCAGTTTTGCTTCTTCCGAGCACGATTTCAAGTTGGATCCGCCTTCACTATTTTATATTTCGGTTTTAAGGGGACCACAAACATCACACAAAGCTTTCTCACATTCTGAAAGCTCCAGCAGTGATTCTATTCATAGATAAGAGAACAAGTAACTACAAGCAGAATTCGGGAAAGAAAGCCACCACATGGGACAGGCAAAGTTGTGATACCGGCAGTACCTACAACACCTAAGAAACTGTTAAGGCCCAGGCTTCGAATAACAAGGTTTGTCAGTGGAAAGTCAGGGGTCTTGCGTGACTTGCAAGCAGCACCAGGCAGGGCAGTGCAAAAACCTGCGGAAGTGAAATGGAAGCCGCATGCCTCATGGCTGGGAGCGAGCGAGTCCTAGAGTCATGTCATAAACCAGGAATTTCCATCTTGGAAAGTGCAGGTACAGCCAGGTCACACTTCAGCATCTCTGGCAGAAGTCACAGGAGAATTTCAGCACCAACAGCTACAAAAGAGCCACTCTTCACATGGCTGATGCCCCTACCACTGAGGAGGGCAATTACGATGTGACCATGTACGTGGCGATTGGAGCGACGCTGCTGTCAGTGGGGGTGGTGCTGTTTGTCGGAATCATAGTGTTTTATTTTTGGCGCAGGGCGAAGGTGGCTCAGAAGGAGGCGGACATGTACAGGGACCAGGCAGAGAAGAGTCTGGAGAGAGGTGCAAGTGACGGGGGTGACCTTCCAGTCTCTGGGGAGGCTAGGGTATGAGCATGATGAGAGAGTGAGGACCCAGCAGCAGGGTACTCTGAGGAGACGCTCATTGCTGCATCGCTGGTCGTCCCGCTCATTCCTCTGGCATTAGACAATTTCTCGTTGGCCCTTAGTTAATGATTGCGTCTGTTGATTACTTGGCTACTCAGGGTTTCTGGTGTGGTGAACTGCACACTCATGCTAAGCTATATACGGTATGTATTTATTTTCAGCTAAAAATATAATCTGATTCTGATTCCAGCAAGAGCATCACTTGCCCCCATGACAGCCACCACAGGAGGATCGCAAGCCAATTTAAAGCCAGCAGGCAAAATAGTGACCCGCCCCTTCTAGTTGGGTCCACTTGAAGATGAAGTATTTTTGTTTTGTTTTGGAATGTTGGAATTGCTGTATGTGTGCTTTTTTTTCCGACCCTCGGACGAGTTTCTTATTGGACCAGGAACGATACCTAGTTCATTGTCAATTCTGATTGGCAGCCAGGTTCTCTCACATGTACATGTGCGAATTTGGCGCAAAGTTGAGCGACGAGCACTCCTGCATTCACTAGAGCCAATACTTCACCAAATTCACAACTAGCAACATCTCACGCTAAATCCCAAGCAGACACACATGTACGTGATGAGAGTGAAAGTGTTTGAACGTTATTAGAGCTAGTAGAGCTCTGATCAATGTGCTGCCTTGGACTTGAGGCCTGGGAGAGGTGCAATAACGGGAAACAGAAGAGAAAAACAGCACTAGGGGGGAAATTATGATGGGCAAGGTGACGCGAATGAAGAGAAAGAGGGAGGGCGACGGGAAGGGAGGGCGTAGGAAACGGGAGGGCGACGGAAGAAGGGGGGCGACGGGAAACGGGAGGGCGACGGGAAACGGGAGGGCGACGGGAAACGCGAGGGCGACGGGAAACGGGAGGGCGACGGGAAACGCGAGGGCGACGAGAAAAGGGAGGGCGACGGAAGAAGGGAGGGCGACGGGAAACGGGAGGGCGACGGGAAACGGGAGGGCGACGGGAAACGCGAGGGCGACGGGAAACGGGAGGGCGACGGGAAAAGGGAGGGCGACGGGAAACGGGAGGGGGGCAGGAAACGGGAGGGCGACGGGAAACGGGAGGGCGACGAGAGAAAAGATAGGCGACGGGAGAGAGGATAGGCGGCGGGAGAGAGGGTGTCGAGAATAGATGGAAAGACAGAAAAAACAAACAAACCAAACACAATAACAGAGTACGGAATGGGTCACGCTGACGCGATAGCAGAGGGAGAACGAGAGAGGCGACGGAGAAAGGAGGGCATACGTGATGGGAGAGTCGAAGGTCGCCGGGAGGGCTATTCGAGGCGAGCGAGAAGGGAGGATGGGAAGGGAGCAGAAAGAGAGAGGGCAATGGGAAGGGAGCGGAGAGAGAGAGCGCGACGGGAAGGGAGCGGAGAGAGAGCGCGATTCGAAGGGAGGAGCGAGAGAGAGGGCGGAGCGGAGAGAGAGAACGCGATGGGAAGGGAGGGGCGAGAGAGAGGGCGACGGGAAGGGCGCGGAGAGAGAGAGCGCGACGGGTAGGAGGGGCGAGAGAGAGGGCGACGGGAAGGGAGCGGAGAGAGAGATCGCGACGGGAAGGGAGGGGCAAAAGAGAGGGCGATGGGAAGGGAGCGGAGAGAGAGAGCGCGACGGGAAGGGAGGGACGAGAGAGAGGGCGACGGGAAGGGAGCGGAGAGAGAGAGCGCGACGGGAAGGGAGGGGCGAGAGAGAGGGCGAGGGGAAGGGAGCGGAGAGAGAGAGCGCGACGGGAAGGGAGCGGAGAGAGAGGCCGACGGGAAGGGAGCGGAGAGAGAGCGCGATTCGAAGGAGGAGCGAGAGAGAGGGCGGAGCGGAGAGAGAGAGAGCGATGGGAAGGGAGGGGCGAGAGAGAGGGCGACGGGAAGGGCGCGGAGAGAGAGAGCGCGACGGGAAGGGAGGGGCGAGAGAGAGGGCGACGGGAAGGGAGCGGAGAGAGAGAGCGCGACGGGGCGAGCGACGGGAGGGCGATCGGTAGGGAGGGGCGAGAGAGAGGCCGACGGGAGGAGAGGAGGGGAGAGAGGGCGACGAAGAGGGCGACGGGACGGGCGACGAGATGGCGACGTGACGCGCGACGGAAAGGGAGACGGGTGGGCGATTTGGCGAACTCGAGGATAGCATAGTGGGCGATGAGAGGGGTGAGAGGAATGGCGACGGGAATGGGGTTCTCTGTGATCGCGAGGAAAATATCACTACGCAGCAACAGCGACGAAGTACCGTATCACAAACAATCTAATGATAATTTCATTTCTATGCCGCATCAGCCTAATCCCTCGTCTCTGGCTATTCTATGCTAGGCAAGCTCTGTGAGTTAGGCAAGCTACGTGAATGGAGTTGAAGTAAGCATATGTGGAACCCAGGCCCAGCTTGAAAGTTGAAGTCGGGTCCAACCATCAAAACGCACGACAAACAACTGTCGTGCAAATGTCGCATGCAGAAAATGCGAACGCGCGAGCACGATCTGATTTTTTTTTTTGGCGGGAACGAATCACGTGTGTTCAGTCTGTGGAAGGGCGATGCCCGGAACAGTGTTTTACACAGCCCATCGTCGTTCCAGTTTTGCTTCTTCCGAGCACGATTTCAAGTTGGATCCGCCTTCACTATTTTATATTTCGGTTTTAAGGGGACCACAAACATCACACAAAGCTTTCTCACATTCTGAAAGCTCCAGCAGTGATTCTATTCATAGATAAGAGAACAAGTAACTACAAGCAGAATTCGGGAAAGAAAGCCACCACATGGGACAGGCAAAGTTGTGATACCGGCAGTACCTACAACACCTAAGAAACTGTTAAGGCCCAGGCTTCGAATAACAAGGTTTGTCAGTGGAAAGTCAGGGGTCTTGCGTGACTTGCAAGCAGCACCAGGCAGGGCAGTGCAAAAACCTGCGGAAGTGAAATGGAAGCCGCATGCCTCATGGCTGGGAGCGAGCGAGTCCTAGAGTCATGTCATAAACCAGGAATTTCCATCTTGGAAAGTGCAGGTACAGCCAGGTCACACTTCAGCATCTCTGGCAGAAGTCACAGGAGAATTTCAGCACCAACAGCTACAAAAGAGCCACTCTTCACATGTCACCATCCTCTGCTCCTCCCGTTCACCGTGTTCCCCTGAGATCCACAACCACAACACTGATGTTGTCCCCACTGCCGCGCACCAGAGCCAGCTTGGTCAGCACAGCAGCAGCCAGAGCAGCCGGGGTCATCTCCTCCTCCCCCTGGGCGCCGGCAGCAGCAAGGGTCTCCGCAGCAGCAGCAGCCGTCTCATCACCAGCTGGAGGCGCCTCAGGGGCAGCTCCGGCCGACCCTGTGCCCCCTGAGCCTCCACGTTGGGCGAGGCAGCGGCGGGCGATGTCAACAGCAGCCTCATTGGAGATAACGTCCCAGAGACCATCTGAGGCCAGCACTACAAGCTCGTCATCTGGATGGCGCTCCGTGATAGTCACCTCAGGCTCTGGGATAACGTAGGGCTTCAGATAGCGATCGCCTGGGGGTGACCGGTGGGGAGAGAGGTGGAGTGGGGCAGGGGGAGAGACGCAGGCATGGGTGTGTACACTGATGTGGAGCCACCCTTAGGCAAGTGGCACTGTGCCTGAGCCTGTAGCTGAGCCCATGCCTACATTTGAGTCTCAGCCAATAAGCAGATCGGTCTGGATAGCGTCTGTCTCATATTCCTTGTACCACGAATTTGCAATAAGTTGTTAAAACACGTACTTGACCACCGGCAATGAGTCCACTCACCAATGGCGCGTGACATGGCCAGCACTCCAAGCACTCGGTAGCCATTCCAGAAAATGACACGCCCACCTGCCTTCTCCACCCGCTTCATCTCATCCTCACGCTCAGGCTGGCAGGCAAGCATGGGGAAGAGGGGAAAGGGGAGGTTGAAGAGTGAAGGAAGAGGATTACACACGTCACATGTGTGACACAAGGGTCAGTCCATGCAGGAAACGTCAGAAGATGTGCTGTAAAATGTGTGACAACACTCCACACCTCTCCCTTTCCACCACCCCCTAAACTTGTCCATCCCTTTTCCGTGCGCCCATGACCCTGTGCCTGTCTCTCACCTTGTGGTCCTTGGACAAAGGCACAGCCTTGCCACCCCTGCACAGCACAGCGCGGGAGTCCCCGCAGTTGCCCACCACCAGGTGGTGTGCCGTCACCACCAGCACCACAGACGTTGACCCCACCGTCTCCGCCGCCAGTGGCTCATGCACGCACTCGGGGGTCATGCCTCCGCCTCCGCCGCCCCCATCCGCGCCTGTTCCCCCGTCGCCCGCGTTACCAGATGCGCCGTGGCAGTGGGAGCGGCGGAGGAAGCAGTGGCCGCTGATTTCAGCGTCCATGCGCGCGAACGACTGCACCATGGCGCGCTGCCAGTGCGCGTGCAGCACCGGGTCCACCTTCTGCGCGCCCTCCGCGCCCACCTCCGCGCCTGCCTGCTGCGCGCCTGTGGCGGCGGCAGGAGCAGCAGCAGGAGCAGCAGCAGCAGCGTCGGGCGTGACGGGGGGAAGGGGCTCGATACCTGAGAGCGTGATAGAGAGCTCTTCTGCTAGCGCCGTGGCCATGTGCGCCGACAGGAAATTTGCGGCCTGTTTTTTATATCAAAGCGGGGGGAATGGGGTGGAGGGGGAGATAGGGAAGGGAGAAAGGGGACGGGGGGAGAAAGGAGGGGGAAGGGGAGGGGCACACTGGGACAACACGTGCAATTCTTCCTTCCAGAACGCATTCCTAAACATCCGAAAACAGTGCAACAAGCACTAAACCCCTCACGCGCTAACACTGGCCCCCATAAATGCGCTCACGGCCCTTCCTCTCCTGTCTCTCCCCCAACCCCCTTTATCTCCTCCCCTGCGGAACGACTAGAGCACCTGGCTGCCGCCATGGCCGTCGAACACGGCGAACATGTGCAGTTGGCACTGCGGGTCGTCCGCGCCCTGTCCTCCGCACGAATCGCTCCCCGCGAGCGAGCACCCCGCGCGGCTGGCGCAAGGCACGAGCGCGAACGCGGGGACCATCGACACCGCGTCCTCCATCTCCCGCCGCCGCCCGCATACCGACAGCACCCCGTTCCCCGGACATTCGTCCGCCGGCGCGCCCTTGATCTTCGCCCCGCTGCACGTGCTGGGCGGAATAACGCGCGGAGGCAGCGGCACGAACGCCGTAGCGTCCGCTGCCGCGCCGCCCGCCCCTGCGACCCCATCCATCCCCAGGCTCTGAAGCTTCGTCTCCTCCTGCAGCAAACTCGCAGCGACTGAGAGCGCAGCGTCCACCTCCGCGTCGTTCCCCTCGCCGCTGCTTGTCGTGCCGCTGGAACTAGTCTCCGACGACAAATCACTGCTCGAATCCTCGTCCTCTCCCCCGTCTCCCCCGCCTCCCCCGTCCCCCTCTTGCCCATTCACCCCTCGCGGAGACTTCGACCCGGACGAGCCCTCGGCGGAGGCGGAGTTTCCCTTGCCCTTGCGCGGGCGGCGGAACTGGCTCCGGCGGAACTTGGTGCGGAGGGCGGTGTAGGCGGCGGCGGTGATGGGATCGGAGGAGGAGTTGGGGTTAGAGTGGGGAGGGGAGATGGAGGAGGGGGAGAGGGGGAAGGAGGAGAGGGAGGAGTTGGTGCTGGAGTCGTCGCTTGTGTCGCGCTTCTGAGGGAGCAGACCCACGCCTAGGTGCTTGCGACACACGATCAGACCGCTGCCGGCCATGGCGGAAGCAGCGAGTCACAGAGGGAAGGGAAGTGAAATGAGGACACAAGGGGGAAAAATAAAAAGACATGAAAAATAGGGATGGGACTAGAGAGAAAGAGTGGACACGAGCCCAATTCTTACGATGCAGGACAGCAAAATTTAAACTGTAATACGATGGAATGTAGCAAGGCCAGGAAGAAGCAGCGTCACATAATGTGACTCGCACCTCACATCTGAACGCTACCACGTAATGTGAAGCAGGATTACTGTTGAGGAAAGGATTCGGAGGGAACCGCAGAACGAAAGCGAGAACAGAGCCATGACTTAACAACCGAACGAGAAATTTCACTAAACACAAAATAACGGGTGTGGTTACCTTGGTGTGGTCGCCTTTTTGCGACGAAGGTCCATACGACGCTGCCTCGCTGCTGCTGCGCTTGGATCGAATGCACTGTCGGCCATGACGCTGTTAATGCTTCAGTCAGAATCGGTTCACACCGACTCTAGAGATCACGAAGGCGAAACTCTCAACCTTGTCTACTACACGGCGTAATGAGATACTCTTTGTAATGGTAGTGATAGCGAACACCAAAACATAAGAATGGCTGGCTGACGAACTACGGCACGTGTTTCTGGAAAATAAAAGGAACAAACCCTCCACAAGACAGACCCTCTAAATGGCTTAGCGGCCAGTGTCAAGAACAGGAAGAAGCGCCTCTTAGGTGTCAAGAACCTTCAGAATACGAGGTGCATTGCATAGAGCAGATTGAGAGTCCAAGAGTCTCGATTTGAAAATTGAAAGCTGAAATTGGAGACGAGTCACCAACAAGTCACCACCAGTCAGGGATCACGCCAGGCACGACAGCCAGTGGCTTGGTTTGACACTTCCCAACCAGACCAATGATCCCCACTAACCTGCACTCACAGCCCCATATGACTTCGACCGAAGCAGGCGGCCTTGGCTTGGTACGGGCTGCTTCGGTGCACGTCTTTGCCGTGCGATGTGTGACTTCCCCACAAAATCGATCAGGCGAGTGTGGACAGAGGGTGGCGGACAGGGTGCTTGCTTGCAGCAGACAACCAAAAAGCGCAAGCCCAGCCGTGTCAAGGTGTGCGCGGAATACAGTACATACAGCAGATTCTCCTTCCGACAGCGCGCGGACCTGCTCACCTACCCAATGACAACCACCCAGGCTCAGCGAAGCACGGAACAGAACAGTGACATCTTCCCTGCTGCCCCGACACGCACGCCCCACGTCAGCTCCATACCTGTGCACCGAGCCAGAGAAGATGCCAGGTCAGCGTCGCTCGGGTGGTTGCGTGAGCTCAGCTCACCCCAATCAGTACTGTTGATTGGTGAAATTAAAACGAACAGAGTGTATCCATTACCCCGCTTGAGTCACAGATCGCCAGAGGCTAAAGTTCTTGACCGTATAGAACCGCGTCAAACAAGCCCTGAACCAAAGAAGGATCACCCCTCCACCCACCTGACTTCTGCGTGGCTGCTTCACCTCTTTCTTGAGGGAGGGGTACATGAGCACCGAAGGTGTTTTAAAACGGTAGATAATGTTCCTAAACGGTGCGTCGTTCTCCACTTTTTCAAAGCTGAACTGTCAGCTGCAATTTGGGACTTTCGAGCTCCCAGCAGGGGAAAGGCGAGGTTTGGCTGTGTGCTGCGAAAAAAAAACGAATTTTAGGAAATTGATCCTCTCGCGACAGCTCAAAAACTGAGCTACCTCCTCGTCAAAGGCTTGTGCAATTTGGGCCAAAGGCTTTACGACCAGTGTACACCTGGGCTCCGATAATTTCATTCCCTACAATTGCAAGGCCCCTGTCGTCACATGGGGTCAGGAGCTCGAGCGCTTCGGAGGCTGTCAACAGTGAAGTCGAGAGCTTTACAGCCTGTGACCTGACGCGTCTGCACATTTCCACGCTGGAATGAGCTGGTGAAAGAGATTCGAGAAGGCTCCCAGGCAGGTTTTTCGTGGCCCACAAAGCAAACCAGCCGCACTAGATTCCTACGTGGCATAGAATGGACGGCCCAAGTGAAGGAGATGAATATGGGGGGGTTGAAATTAGGGGGAACTTTTTTGTTCCCCATAATTTCAACCGCTGGGCTAAACGACAGAGGTGCGACCCGGTGCCCCGTCTCTGAAATTATCGGAGCCCAGGTGTACAAGAAATCTCCCCTCGAGAATACCGTACACATGGTCGTCGCCAATTTCATTCAAGGCACTACACGTTTGCAGGGATTATTCGCTTGTTTCTCTGCCCGTACTCCAACTTCCGTCACCTTCGGGCTCGTCCTCCCTAGTTCCGTACGAGGCGATGGCACTGTATGCCAAGCAGATGCTCAAACAGCCTTTACCAAGCTTATGGGGTTGGCTGGATGGGTATGCGCTGCATTCACATCTCTTGGGATTGGTTTTTCTCGACAAGTCCACATTCGGAAGAAAGCCAACGGTGTTATCAGCGTACTTATCTGAAACATGATCACGGCTGTTTACTATTGATGCATTTGCATCGAGAAACCGCCAGTGCATTACGAGCACTGATCTGAGATCTGGGCGCTGTAGAATCTTCTCCGCACTCAACATCAGTTCCACTAGCCATTAGTTGCTCATTATCTCCGCATCGACACCAACAATGGTTTCACCTGCCCGAGTTCGTCCTCACACCTTTGAACGGCGCCTCGTGTCAGCGGAATGTGGCCGAGTATCCGCGACGAAGCGTTGCTTGCTTCTCCTCGTGCTCGCGTATCCGTTCCGCGTGCGGCAGGTTGGAGCAGGTGAGTGTTTGTGGTGATGCTTGTGGAGTGCGGATGTTTCTAGTTCCGCATGGCAGAAGGACCGCGTTTGCACATGCATACAGTCTAACTTCACCCTTCCTTGGATTCGTGGATTTTCTAAACATTGCGATCTCGCGTGTGGACTTGGTCTCTCGCGATTATCAGCTAGCACGGGCCATCTCTGTAGCGAGATTATCAAAGTTATCAACCACCTGCCAATGCCCGCAGCAGGCGACGTTATGGGAGAGGCAGCGCAGGTGAAGGAGGGAGCAGCAGGGACAGCACAAGGAGACGCGTCAGGCGGGGCCATGCAGGTTGCGGGTGGGCATGGCGCGAGTGCGAGTAACGCGCTGGAAGTGCCGAATGGGTTTCTACACCCTCCTGACAACCCGGAAGAAGCCGGTCCTTACGTGCCCATCGAATTCAGGTGCCAACATCATGCGGCGTCTCTCGCGCTCATAGCTTGTTGCTGTACCACGTTGTCACACTTCGAACAACCCAACTAGTATAAGGCCGCATTCTGAAGTTCCCCCACCATCAGAAGTTCCCCCATGCGACTCGAAATGTTGACGTGGCATTAATTCACATTTAGAAGTTCCCCCACGCGGTTCGACTTCTGGACACCTTGAGTCCAACCGACCACCGTCGCAATGCCTGGCCTGTCCGTCAGTGTGCGACGATGGAGATCGTGCCACGTTTGCAGGGTGTGGGGACTACGGTGTTAGACATGCCAGTTTCGTGCACATAGCCGGCAACATGTATTTTATTCCTACCCACGCAACCCATTTCTGCGCTGTTTGCGTGAATCTGCTAACATCACCCAAGTTGACTTGATTTGACTATGGTGCCAAATTTTTTCGTCAGGCGCAAACGTCAGGCTCAGCCGTTTAGGTTTTGCCTGGCGAGGTAAGTCCAACACTTGGTATGCGAGCCGGCGCATCAATTTCATTGGATACCGGATATGCGATGCTGGCGACATCTGTCGCTTGCCAAAATGAGGTTCGGTGGTCAGAGTGGGAGCATTCCCACCAAAACCCCCATCAGCTTTGAAAAAAACTGGCTGGTGGGGGATCTTTGCTGGTGGGGGAACTTGAGAATGCGCCATAAGGCTCTTAGAATCCTAGTAGTTTGTTCGCACCTTTCCAAAGTCACTTCTTCAACCACCTTGCACTCACACTCCAGGACCTCTTCCGTCCCTACCCTCCAACCACCGCTGACGGTCCCCACCAGGAACGATCAGGAGCGTAAGAGGCTGAAGAGCCAGCCGCTGGGCATGCACATCAGCAGCGACGAGCAGACAGCCATGTGGCTCAACTACTTTAAACCAAACACACTTAGCGGGCCCAAGCTCAGCTGCATGGGCCTTCCCTGCCCGCAATTCCTCCAGTGCATCGATGGGTTTCCCAACGTGTGGGCCTGCTGGGATGACGAGCTCATGGATCGAGAGATGTTCCCCACTCACGCTCCGTTAAACTGCCCGATCCGGGCAGCAGGGGAGGAAAAGTTGGTGGGGGGGAGGAAGGGGAGTATGACCTGTCGTGCAGTCACAGAAAGGACTATTGGTACCACATGCCGTGGGCTGTGCAGAACTTCCAGCTGGCGGATGTGTAGATAAAAGCACGATGGGTTCCTCTTCAACACCTCGCACCAGTTTATGCGAGGCGGGTGCCATCAAATCGGCAAGGTAAGCGAGCCATTCGCCCCTCACCTTTGTGCTCCCTCCCTCCCTCCTTTCATCCATTCTTCCATCCCTTTCACTTTATCTTTTTTGCCCCCGCAAGTACCCATTCCATGAGAGCTGTACCACAGCATCTCATCATCCATTCAACAGTGTCGCATGCTCCAGTTCCTTCATCTCCCCGCCCTGGTCGACCCGTTCACCCCTTACTATCCCTCCCACCCGTCAACCCCTTCCACGCCATCAACCCCCCCACCCCTTCAACCGCTCCACCCTTTACCCCACCACGCAGTACACATTCTCCCCAGCAGCGGCGGTGCACGAGCTGCATGGAGCATGGAGCAGGGCGTACGCGGTGGGCGGCAACTTCTACCACGTTCTGGTGGAAATGCTGCCGGGCTTTGTGGTGGCGGCAAGCCTCTTCCACAAGTATCGCAAGTACCCCATCCTCGCCACAGGTCGTGTTTTTTGAGAATTCTCAAAAAACACAAGTATCGCAAGTACCCCATCCTCGCCACAGGTGGGCCAGTGTGCCAAATGAGCGACGTGCAAGTGTGTGCCGCAGTGCGGGGAGGGAGAGAGGAATGGACGTTGGTGGACCAAGAAGGTGGTTGCTTGGGGTAACAGGGATGTGTGTTGAGTGCTTGTGTTAAGTGCGTGGAGCTTGGAGAAATATATTTTTTTTCCGTTGCATGCCTGTGGTTTGCTACATATCTAATTCTGCACCCGTCTGTCCATCCCAGCAACTCTGTGCCACTGCACGAGCTGCATGCGAGTCCGTCTGCATCGAATCTATGCTGAACTTCATACATCGCCATGCTTCACTCCTTTCCTCCTCTCCTCACCCTTCCCTTGCCCTGTTCCCTGTTTTGTTGCGAAGGGCATCAGTGGAGAGCGTATGACCGCATGGGAGCGCCAATCACGGGCATTCCTCGTGCGAGCATGAGAGCGCTCGCCACCTTCACAGGAGAAATTTACCATGCGGCATGGGTGCAGCAGGTCAGATGCCGTGCGTGAATTGACCCCACACTTCTCACACCTGTCTGGGCTCAATTGTTTTTTGCTACTTGTCTGAGTCCGTTTCACCTTCCTCTCACCTGTGTTCTTCTGCCCACTCCACTCCAAGTCAGAGCAAGTCTTCCCGCTTCGCGTGTCACCACCAGCATTCAAAGCGCCTGCTTTTCCCAAGCTTGTTCCCACGGCCAGTCAGCACCAGCAAGATGCTTCCGTCTCATTTGGGATCGTTCTCCCTAGTTCTCAACAACGCGATGCTACTATGTGCCAGGCAGACGCTCAAAGTGCTTCGAAGAAGCGTGGGGTTTGGCGATTCGAGCATGCGCTGCAACCACATGCCATGGTTTTCCTTGACAAGCCCACGCTTGGTAAAAAGGGCAGTGGTGAGCGACGATACATTCACTGCTGTCTATCGAGGCATCAGCATCAATTAATCGTAGCGCGGTTAACGACGATCACAGAACTGAGCGTTGGATGCTCTACTAGAATCTTGCCCGGACTCACTGAACCAATCATGGTTCCACCTGCTCGGGTTCGTCCCCACACGACCGGACGGTGCCTCGTGTCGAAGGATTCTGGAAGAGCAGCCACGGCGAAGCGCATTCAGTGCTTTCTTCTCTTCATGCTTACCGCGTATCCCTTCCGCGTCGTGCGGCTGATTAGAGCAGGTGAGTGTGTGCTAGTGTGAGCAGGTGGCCCGGAAAGGCTGTATTTTCACGTGGATACAGTCCAAGTTCACCCGCCAAAAGTCAGAGGCCGCCGTATTATGTTCAACCATATTTAGGTACTTGGCATTTACTTAGCTGAACAAGTTATTACAATGTATCTACATATGTTTGAACAGTACAGCACCAAGGCCTGGCCCTCTGATCTAGACGCGATTATTAGCGAGCCATCAATGAAACTGAATCTTCCGATTATGACGAATTACCACCACTTGCGTATGGTGGGCAGGCGACATTATGGGGGAGGCAGGGCAGGTGAAGGAGGAAGCAGCAGCTGCAGCAGAAGGAGCCGCGTCAGGCGCAGCCATGGAGGTTGTGGGCGAGAGTGGCACACTGCCGGAGGCGGCGAATGTAATTCTGCATGGTCCAGACAACCCAGAAGAAGTCGGCCCTCACGTGCCCACTGAATTCAGGTGCCCTTGAATCGAATTTCACTTGAGTTCGGATGCCCTCGTGTCATGCATCGCGCTCAAGTTAGCCTTGTTGCTTGCATCGTTTTCACAGCGGGAAAAGGCTGTTTTCACAACTGCTACAAGGCTCTTTGAATCCTAAACAATACAATATGCACTATTCACCACCTACTTCCTTCTCCCGCCTCACACCTCCCCACCCCCTTCCGCTCGTACCCTCCACTCTCCTCCTCCGCTCCCCGCCAGGAACGACGAGGAGCGTGTGAAGCTGAAGAGCCGGCCGCTGGGCATGCGCATCAGCAGCGACGAGCAGACTGCCGTGTGGCTCAACTACTTTCATCTGAACACACAAAGTGGGCCGAAGCTCAGCTGCATGGGCAATCCCTGTCCGCACCTCTACAAGTGCAATGACGGGTACCCCAATGTGTTGGCCTGCTGGAATAGCGAGCTAGTGGATCATGAGATGTTTCTCACTTCTGCTCCTCTGAACTGCCCGAACCGGGCAGCAGGGGCAGAAAGAGTGGCGGGGGAGGAAGGCGAGTATGACGAGTGGTGCAGTCACAAGGCGGATCATGGGCTGCGCATGCCGTGGGCTCTGCAGAACTTCCAGCTGTCGGATGTGTACATAACGCACGATGGTTTTCTCTTCAACGCCACGCACCAGTTTGTGCGGGGGGGATGCCACAAGATCGGCAAGGTGAGGCATGCATCAGCCTGTATCACCCTCGTGCTCCCTCAAATGGTCCGTTGTATTAATTCAGCAGGGGTACAGACATGCAGTTCTATCCATGATAACCTCAATCCCATAAGCCCATCAACTCACCCCTCTTCCCCTCCCCTCCCCCCTGAGTGACCCTCTAGCCCTCCAGCGTGTGGAGGATGTCCCCCAGGTGCAGCGGCCAGGGGTCCGCTGCCATCTGGGGGTGTGCTGCCTCAATCCCAGCCCTGGCCTTGGTGTGCAGGGCGTTCGCCTGGGAGCGCTGGAGGGCCACTGACCAGCGCTGGCTGAAGTGGCAGGCCATCTTCTTGGCGGATTTCGCCAAGGGGCTGGCCCTGAAGCGGTTCCTAGCTGCTGCTGTGGCCAGCAGTTTCAGGAACGCCGTCGTGGGGGGCGCGTTTGCCCCATAGGTCTCGACGGCCAGGGCGCAGAACACCACGTGTTCAGTGTGTCGGTAGTAGTCCCTCTCCTTCCGCTTCTGTGCCTCCCTTGCAGCCCAACCTGGGGGTTTGCGGGCCGTAGGGTCTCGGTTCTGCAGCACAGGGTCGGTGATCGTGGTGTCTGTGATCCAGGTCTCTCCGCTGTCCGGGTCTTGTACAATCACATCTGCCTTCTTCGGGTCATCCGGAGGTGAGTACATCGCATTCTCCAGGTATACCACCAGCTGCGCCTCCCTCGCCATTTTAGCCATGGCGAAGGCCAGCTGGTTGTGTGTGCGCGTCCTGTCGGGGCCTGTGCTGCAGCGGAGTAAGTGGTTGGGTAGGCTGCAGTCGGCTACGAGTTCTCCGCACTCGCACACGGTTGGTACATTCTGTCGGATGCCCATGCGGAAGGCCAGGGCCGCTCGGAACTGTCCCGGTGAGAAGCAGAGGTCCGGGGTCAACGGTAGTGCCTGCAGCCACGCTCCTGCTCCCTCTCCTCTCAGGCTGACTAGGCGGAGTGTGTGGCCCATCTCGGGGGCTGACTGTATTGCGCGTGACTCCTCTCTTTGGGCGTCGGCCTTTGCCGCGTGCACTTCCTGGGAGAGGGCGCGCTGCAGCTGGTCCTGGGACGGGGTTTGCTGCTCCTCCCGTAGGTTTTGTAGCGCCAGCGGTGGCAGTCGCCCCTCCATGTCCTGGATGGTCACGGAGTGCGCTGCAGACGGCTGCAGGGCGTTGCTGTTGGCCCCTAGCGGCGCGGTTGCCGGTAAGTCCAGGGAGCGGAGCAGGCGCAGCGCCTCTGTTGTAGATGCCAGGTATGCCGGTGCTGCTTCAGTTGTGGGGTCCGTAATGCCCAGTCCGCCTAGGGCTACTGGGAGAGTTGCCTGTCGGAGAAGGAAGTTGAACTCGGCTTGTCGGCGTGGCGGTTGAATGCTGGCGGCGGTCAAGGCAGTGTTCAGTAATTCGGCGCACCATGTGTGCCATTCCGAGAGCGGTAAGACGTCAGCTGGGGTAGTGCGCAGCAGGTAGCCGACTCTGCGGCTGATGCAACGAGACAGTAGCAGGAGGGCGTGTTGTGGGTGGATGGACGCCAGAGAGCCCAAGGGGGCTGCCGCGTCTGTCAGGGTGCTGCGGACAAAATCAGAGCAGAAGCTCTGCGACCCCACTGGACTTCCCAACACCCGCACCACCTCGCGGGTGAGGGGAAGGCCCTCGGGGAGTACGTCCCCTCCTAGCGGCACGGTGGACCACGCCGACGACTTCCTAAAGTTGCAGGTGAGACCGTCCCGTGCCAGCAGCGGCGTGAGCTCCCTGAGCGCTTCCAGCGTCGCCGCCGCGGGTCCAATCATGGTTATGTCGTCGGCGTAAGCGAGGACCGTGACTTCGGGGTGCTCCGTTGCTACGTGCCTGAGGTGCTGCTGGATAGACGCCGCGAATAGCAGGGGTCCGAGGGGATCCCCCTGTGTGACTCCCCTTCCGCTGGTGAGTGCCGTGGAATTGAGGCATGGGTCCAGCAGCCCTCCCTCCCTCCCTATTTCTCTTCATCTTTTCTTGAGTTGACTAAAAATTCCTCCCTTCATCCCTGCATCCCTTGCGCACTGTTTGCTCCCCTTGCGCACTGTTTGCTTCCCTTGCGCACTGTTTGCTTCCCTTGCGCACTGTTTGCTTCCCTTGTGCACTGTTTGCTTCCCTTGCGCACTGTTTGCTTCCCTTGTGCACTGTTTGCTTCCCTTGTGCACTGTTTGCTCCCCTTGCGCACTGTTTGCTTCCCTTGCGCACTGTTTGCTTCCCTTGCGCACTGTTTGCTTCCCTTGCGCACTGTTTGCTTCCCTTGCGCACTGTTTGCTTCCCTTGCGCACTGTTTGCTTCCCTTGTGCACTGTTTGCTTCCCTTGCGCACTGTTTGCTTCCCTTGTGCACTGTTTGCTTCCCTTGTGCACTGTTTGCTCCCCTTGCGCACTGTTTGCTTCCCTTGCGCACTGTTTGCTTCCCTTGCGCACTGTTTGCTTCCCTTGCGCACTGTTTGCTTCCCTTGTGCACTGTTTGCTCCCCTTGCGCACTGTTTGCTTCCCTTGCGCACTGTTTGCTTCCCTTGCGCACTGTTTGCTTCCCTTGCGCACTGTTTGCTTCCCTTGCGCACTGTTTGCTTCCCTTGCGCACTGTTTGCTTCCCTTGCGCACTGTTTGCTTCCCTTGCGCACTGTTTGCTCCCCTTGCGCACTGTTTGCTTCCCTTGCGCACTGTTTGCTTCCCTTGCGCACTGTTTGCTTCCCTTGCGCACTGTTTGCTTCCTTGCGCACTGTTTGCTCCCTTGCGCACTGTTTGCTTCCCTTGCGCACTGTTTGCTTCCCTTGCGCACTGTTTGCTTCCCTTGCGCACTGTTTGCTTCCCTTGCGCACTGTTTGCTTCCCTTGCGCACTGTTTGCTTCCCTTGCGCACTGTTTGCTTCCCTTGCGCACTGTTTGCTTCCCTTGCGCACTGTTTGCTTCCCCTTGCGCACTGTTTGCTTCCCTTGCGCACTGTTTGCTTCCCTTGCGCACTGTTTGCTTCCCTTGTGCACTGTTTGCTTCCCTTGTGCACTGTTTGCTCCCTTGCGCACTGTTTGCTTCCCTTGCGCACTGTTTGCTTCCCTTGCGCACTGTTTGCTTCCCTTGCGCACTGTTTGCTTCCCTTGCGCACTGTTTGCTTCCCTTGCGCACTGTTTGCTTCCCTTGCGCACTGTTTGCTTCCCTTGCGCACTGTTTGCTTCCCTTGCGCACTGTTTGCTTCCCTTGCGCACTGTTTGCTTCCCTTGCGCACTGTTTGCTTCCCTTGCGCACTGTTTGCTTCCCTTGCGCACTGTTTGCTTCCCTTGCGCACTGTTTGCTTCCCTTGCGCACTGTTTGCTCCCCTTGCGCACTGTTTGCTTCCCTTGCGCACTGTTTGCTTCCCTTGCGCACTGTTTGCTTCCCTTGCGCACTGTTTGCTTCCCTTGCGCACTGTTTGCTTCCCTTGCGCACTGTTTGCTTCCCTTGCGCACTGTTTGCTTCCCTTGCGCACTGTTTGCTTCCCTTGCGCACTGTTTGCTTCCCTTGCGCACTGTTTGCTCCCCTTGCGCACTGTTTGCTTCCCTTGCGCACTGTTTGCTTCCCTTGTGCACTGTTTGCTCCCCTTGCGCACTGTTTGCTTCCCTTGCGCACTGTTTGCTTCCCTTGCGCACTGTTTGCTTCCCTTGTGCACTGTTTGCTTCCCTTGCGCACTGTTTGCTTCCCTTGTGCACTGTTTGCTCCCCTTGCGCACTGTTTGCTTCCCTTGCGCACTGTTTGCTTCCCTTGCGCACTGTTTGCTTCCCTTGCGCACTGTTTGCTTCCCTTGCGCACTGTTTGCTTCCCTTGCGCACTGTTTGCTTCCCTTGCGCACTGTTTGCTCCCCTTGCGCACTGTTTGCTTCCCTTGCGCACTGTTTGCTTCCCTTGCGCACTGTTTGCTCCCTTGCGCACTGTTTGCTTCCCTTGCGCACTGTTTGCTTCCCTTGCGCACTGTTTGCTTCCCTTGCGCACTGTTTGCTTCCCCTTGCGCACTGTTTGCTTCCCTTGCGCACTGTTTGCTTCCCTTGCGCACTGTTTGCTTCCCTTGCGCACTGTTTGCTTCCCTTGCGCACTGTTTGCTCCCTTGCGCACTGTTTGCTCCCTTGCGCACTGTTTGCTTCCCTTGCGCACTGTTTGCTTCCCCTTGCGCACTGTTTGCTTCCCTTGCGCACTGTTTGCTTCCCTTGCGCACTGTTTGCTTCCCTTGCGCACTGTTTGCTTCCCTTGCGCACTGTTTGCTTCCCTTGCGCACTGTTTGCTTCCCTTGCGCACTGTTTGCTTCCCTTGCGCACTGTTTGCTTCCCTTGCGCACTGTTTGCTTCCCTTGCGCACTGTTTGCTTCCCTTGCGCACTGTTTGCTTCCCTTGCGCACTGTTTGCTTCCCTTGCGCACTGTTTGCTTCCCTTGCGCACTGTTTGCTTCCCCTTGCGCACTGTTTGCTTCCCTTGCGCACTGTTTGCTTCCCTTGCGCACTGGTTTGCTTCCCTTGCGCACTGTTTGCTTCCCTTGCGCACTGTTTGCTTCCCTTGCGCACTGTTTGCTTCCCTTGCGCACTGTTTGCTTCCCTTGCGCACTGTTTGCTTCCCTTGCGCACTGTTTGCTTCCCTTGCGCACTGTTTGCTTCCCTTGCGCACTGTTTGCTTCCCTTGCGCACTGTTTGCTTCCCTTGCGCACTGTTTGCTTCCCTTGCGCACTGTTTGCTTCCCTTGCGCACTGTTTGCTTCCCTTGCGCACTGTTTGCTTCCCTTGCGCACTGTTTGCTTCCCCTGCGCACTGTTTGCTTCCCTTGCGCACTGTTTGCTTCCCTTGCGCACTGTTTGCTTCCCTTGCGCACTGTTTGCTTCCCTTGCGCACTGTTTGCTTCCCTTGCGCACTGTTTGCTTCCCTTGCGCACTGTTTGCTTCCCTTGCGCACTGTTTGCTTCCCTTGCGCACTGTTTGCTTCCCTTGCGCACTGTTTGCTTCCCTTGCGCACTGTTTGCTTCCCTTGCGCACTGTTTGCTTCCCTTGCGCACTGTTTGCTTCCCTTGCGCACTGTTTGCTTCCCTTGCGCACTGTTTGCTTCCCTTGCGCACTGTTTGCCTTCCCTTGCGCACTGTTTGCTTCCCTTGCGCACTGTTTGCTTCCCTTGCGCACTGTTTGCTGTCCCTTGC